AATGCTCTTTGCCCAGAGAGTAAGTTAGCTGCTAATAAGGCTAAAAAGCAAAAAGGGTTTCCTGGGGCACCTGTCATAATCCAAACAGGCAGGAGAGGCACAGCTGAGATGAACAGCTGAGACTTTAGACATAGAAAAGGAGAGCCTGGAGAGGGGGTGGGAGCACTAATTAGAGAGAGAGGGTGGGAGAGGCGGAAGATGTCACAGGAGGCACAGGGGGTCACAGGAGGCAAATGGAGGAGCGTTAGGCAACTGTCAGTCTCTATAGCAACGTCCTGTTATATGAAGGGTGAGGGGTGAGAAATTGTTCCTTTTATTTTGTGAGTGAGTGTGAGCTTGTGTTTTCCCTACTAATACTGACAGATGGGGCCTTATAAAGACACGCCCACTTATATGTATAAAGGAGCGCACATACAATTTGCCTTCAGCAACTAAAAGGTCCTCTTGGCTAACATGTCATAAACAACAAAGTCTTATTGTTCTATACGCCTGTCATCAGTCATTTTAAATTTTTATTATAGTTTCTGTATAATTCAATTGGCCTTTTAATTTGTTTACCAGAAGTGGTTCACAGCAATACACTGCATATTGTTATACTGTTAAAATACAAAATGGGTTAGTGCCACCATCTTCCATTTAAATGAATTGATGTTGAAATGAGTGAGGAGCCCAAATCTGCTTCAATATCCAAATTGTATTATTTGACAAAACCGAGTGAACCTTGTTTCACTATTTTCATCCAGATATGTCTGGAGTTGCTCCTTTTCTTTGATTTGTTTTCATAAGCTGAAAGAAAAGCATAGAAAACATAGATGCATACAATTACACACATACCTGTATAGTACACCTACTTAAGACCATGTGAAACTCATCATGTACATGTATTTCAATCTATATTAAAACAAGCTGTACCTGTTAACTCTTACTAGATTAAGAAATGCATCATTGTGTAGGACAAATAGGCCTGTGTATTGTGTCCATCCCTCCTCTTTGTATAAAGTCAGCTGCATAATAAAGTGGCCCTGCAGTCAATAGACAGAAGAGATAGGGAAACCTGCGCTGCCTGGCACCAGGCTCGGGGAACCACATGTCAGATACCCTACCTTCTTGCCCATGATGCCCTGTTCATGGATTTTCAACTCTATATCTGATTCCTTTATGAATTTCCCTCTGACTGGCATTCCTTTTTTCTGCGTGCGTGTTCACTTGTTCTCTATTCTTAAACCATTGCTCCTTCTTTCGCGCTCTCATTGTGTGTAATTAACCATTTAGCATGAAGAAGGGCTGTAATTAAAAGTTTGGTGCAAGGTTGCGGAGAGCGCCTCAGCTAGAGGCTTTAATGGAATTTACAGTGCACTTGATACGAATGCTTATTTAACTGGCTCTCCTTTTCTGCTTCAATTAGAGGTACTAAGACCACATAAGAGACTACACATGCCTAACTTGAATAGTGCTGCATTACTTACCTCTGCCAAAATGGTAGAATGATCATTTTCTGGAATTTGTTTGCTTTTTCCATATTTGTTTCTTAGATTGGGTACTGGTTCCTTATCATTATAATATCTAAAGGTTATCAGTTTGTAGATTTGTTTGAAAAGCATCCTATAAATAGATTTCTTTTATTATTAAATATGTTATCTAAGGTGTCAATTTGGTAGTAGAAACAGATTAAGCCCACAGCAATGGCTTAATAAGTAGAAAAACCATGCTTCTGAAAAAAACTGTTAGTCATCCAGTATTCAAATGCAGTGACTTCACTAATTTGCTGTGTGGATTTCATTGGCAGGGAGTTTAAGCAAAACATGTCTCCCTTTCCTCATTTATCTTTTATAGACACACTCATCTGAGGGATTTGTCCACCTTTCTGCAGTTTTTTTCACCTTCTGTAAACCACACCCCCACTACTTGAAAAGCACTGAAAGCACATCTCTCATGGATTAAGAAACTCTCTCTTCATCTCAAAATGAATAATGCGTCTTAGTAAATGTATGCATGTTTGTTCAGGACAGAGGGGGCCTGCCTCTCTCACACATATGAATATGTATGATGTATGGTTGAGCTAAGGGAGTTTTATGTTGGTCTATATTTGTGTTGTGGGTTTGTCTGCTTCCTGTACCAGACTGGCAGCAGTAGTAAACAGTGAGCTGACTTGGAGAACACCCATTGTGTTCACCGCAGCTGGCACCAGCACCAGCACCACATGGGGAGCTCCTGCAAAACGACACAACCCTGTGCAGCGAAAAAGTTTGATCTGGTTCAGCTTTGCCGTACTAGACAGTGACATCATCCAGCAAAGGTGCTGCATTGACCAATCACGTACAGGGGACAGACAGAACGTGGATGCCCACTGGAAGAAGACTGTCTTGTTTATCATGAGCATTCACTGATAATTCACTCTTGAATTTGGGTCACAGTTACAAACACACTATATTGAAACGCCATGTGTTTTCATTAGTTCAGGTACTGGATGTTAAACTGTTTTCTATCTATTAATGCCAATACACTGATAGTAGAAATTATTGCTAATGTAGAGTAGGCTACATTAGCAGCATGCCCAAAACAACGGAACCTCATGGGCTGGAAACGTGAATGAACCTCAAGCTGTCACGACGTGGCCATAGCATGCACACCTACAACACTACTCCTGCAACCCCTCACCCCCCGACCAATGACTGCTAACAGATCGCAAAGCACCTGCAACCCCTCACCCCCTGACCAACGACTGCTAACAGATCGCAAAGCCTTGCCTTTGTTTGAGATGGCAAATTGTAAACAATAGAAACACAGTATTTATGTTACACAACAGTCCACCAGGAATGCACGCTTGCATGGATGTGATGAGCCAGTGCAGCGCCTTGCCAGATGATGTCACATTGGGTTGCCCATTCAGATTACAGGGCTCTTTTTTTTTCATGCAGAACGAACTGTATGCGCGTGAGTGCAACTAAGTTTAACTTTGTAATTATAGTGTATGTTAACACCTAGAAGCAAGAGGAAAGCAAAAGTGATAGGGGGACCAAAATTGTGCTCTAGGTAGAAAGATTGGTTAGAGTTGGAAAGGATGAAAGAGAGAGGGGGGCTGGGTGCAGGGTTTAGATTCGTGGGGAGATGGAGTGTTAGAACCAGGGAGATGGCAAGGTAGAGAGACAGGAACAAGACTGGAGAAAAGAGACAAACACAAGAGATGAAGGATGAAGATGATAAAGGCCGAGAGAGCGAATAACAAAGTAAGTACAAAACTCCAGCCTGAGAGAAAGGTAGGCATAGAGAAAAGAAAGCGAGGGAGAGGGGCAGAGTTGTAATGGAAAGACTTGGTGGGGGTGGGGTACTTTGGGGGGCCAGGGCAGTGTGTATTCACTGTCCTGCCATCTGATTGGCTGAGGCAGCGTCAGGCGGGATGGGCTGAATTTAATCAGAGATGTGCGTCACCAGCTGCAGTTCCAAATCAACTTTTTTTTTTTTTTGGCGGTGCAAGTCGGTCTTTACTGCTCCCTACCTCTCTCTGCGTCCACGTTTGACTAAAATCTCCTCAGTAGAAGGGGGTGCAAACAACTGTGAAAGTGCTTTCTTGTGTGTATGTGTGTAATTTGTTTTTATGTAGTCTAGAAATGGGGTTTGTGCCCCTGTGGAAGCGTATGCGTCTGTGAGGGACACCATTAGAAGAAAGTACAAAAGGGGTGATTATGCTTTCCCTCTGCATATGTAGCTCTTTCCC